AGAATTCCGCTCCTCTCCCCAGCCCTAGGCCTCCTGCTACCCTTCCCCAGAGCCAGGCCTCTAAACCTCTTAGCCCTTGGCCGGAGACAGAAAACCCGCGTACAACTTCCGTTCTCGCTGGGGTGGAAGGAGGGAGGAGAGGGGACTCACACCCTGCCCTTGTTCCCTGCCGGAGCAATTTCACACAGTTCTCAGAGGAGACCACCACACCTGTCGGAGACCCCAGTTCTTGCCCACCTCTGCATGGACGAACCTCTCGCCGAAGTGGAGCTTACTACCTTCCCTGAGGTCAAGAGCCCATCCCACATGTCCCAGCCAGGGCTGGGTGGCCGGTGGGACTATTGTCAAAGGGACTGTGCAGCCAGGGTTCCCCACGCCCAATGCCACCCCTGCACTCCCAGCAGGAGGGCGCCCGCACTGGTGGCCCGAAAAAGGCTGGGCCAGCAGACAGTGCATTCACGCCCGGGACCCCGCAGTGCCGCGTGTCCGCGACCTCCCGCTCAGGCGCGTCCTCGGGTCAGGGCGCAGTGCGGCCCCCGTGCCGCTTCTGGTGCTCGTTGAGGTTGGAGCGGTGGCTGAAGGGCTTCCCGCACTCGCCGCAAGCGTAGGGCCTCTCGCCCGTGTGCGTACGCCAGTGGCTTACGAGCTCCGACTTGCGCACGAAGGCCTTGCTGCAGTGGGCGCAGACGAACGGCCTCTCGCCAGAGTGCAGGCGCTGGTGCTGGCGCAGCTCGGAGCTGCCGCGGAAGGCCTTGCCACATTCTGCGCAGGCGAAGGGCCGCTCGCCCGTGTGCGTGAGCCGGTGGTGCGCCAGGCCCGAGCTGCCGCGAAAGGCCCTACCGCAGTCGGCGCAGGCGAAGGGCTTGGCGCCCGAGTGCGTGCGCTGGTGGCTGAGCAGGTTGGAGCGCTGGCTGAAGGCCTTTCCGCATTGGGCGCACGCGTGGGGCTTCTCGCCCGTGTGCACGCGCCGGTGCTCCGCCAGGTAGGAGCCCATGACGAAAGCCTGGCCGCACTCGGCGCACCCGAAGGGCCGCTCGTCCGTGTGCGTGCGCTGGTGCTGCAGGAGCTGAGAGCTCTCGCGGAAAACCTTTCCGCAGTCGGCGCAGGGGAAGGGCTTCTCGCTGCTGTGCGTGCGCCGGTGCTGCCGCAGCCCCGCCACGCGCACGAAGGCCTTGCCGCAGTCGGGACAAGCGTGTGGCCGCGCGCCCGCGTGGATCTTCAGGTGCTCAGCCAGGTTGGAGCTCTGGCTGAAGGCCTTGCCGCAGTCCGGGCAGGCGTGTGGCCGCGCGCCCGTGTGCACGCGCTGGTGCTCCAGGAAATTGGAGTTCCAGCTGAAGGCCTTGCCGCAGTCCGGGCACTCGTAGGGCTTCTCGCCCGTGTGCGTGCGTCGGTGCTGCACCAGCGTGGTGCTTCGACCGAAGGACTTGCCGCAGTCCGGGCAGCGGAAGGGCTTCAGGCCGCTGTGTGTCTCCTGGTGGTGGATGAGCTGCGAGTGAGCGCGGAAGGCCTTGCCGCACTCCCCGCAAGCATAGGGCTTCTCGCCGCTGTGGATGCGTTGATGCTGGCTGAGGTTGGAGCTCCAGGCGAAGGCCTTGCCGCACTCGGGGCACGTGTACGGTTTCTCGCCTGTGTGCACGCGCCGGTGCTGCAGCAAGTAGGAGCTCTGGCTGAACGCCTTGCCGCACTCCCCGCACCGGCAGCCGGGCTCCTCTGGGAGAGGCGAAGGGCGCAACGTCCAATCTACATACTCCCGGGGCCCAGCCCCGTCCCGCCCACCATCTGCGGGGCCCAGCTCCCTGTCGGGGCCCCCCTGTTCGTCCGCCGCCCCCAGTGTGGCTTGCTGCCGCTCGCCGTCCCCTGCCTCCCCTGGGACCTCCGTGGAGTCTTCCCAGGACCCCCAGCCTCCAGACACAGCCCCCTCAGAGGGGCGCCTCGTGGCAGTCTTCACACTGCAGAGGCCCTGGCCTTCCTTTGGGGCCATCTGCAGGTTCCTCCCTCCTGGGGACTCCATCTCGCGCCTGTGACCTAAAACAGGAGAGAAAAGGTAAGTGCCTTAGCGAATACAAAGAACACCAGACAGAGGGCCTTTGGGAGACATGACGGTGGGTGGGCTGTCATCCCCACTCTTCTCCTCCACGGCCCTGGATGCCCAGTGCCCTCTGGAGCCTGGAGCAGGAAGTTCAGCAGGCGGGCTAGACACTCGGGACGGGCCAGCACTCTGGGCCTGCCTGACAGGGCCACGTGCACATCCCTACACCTGGCCCCGCCCAGCAGGAGGGGATGGGGCGCCAGCATCGTGGAAGGACTCAAAGCTGCCTACGCACCTGCACTGGCTGTACTGTGGCACCACTCTCCTCCCCTTGCTTGATTCCTGCTGCAGCCGCTCCACCAGGACGGTGGCCTCCTCAGGACTGCCTGGCCACTGCTCCTGCGCGTAGGCCTGGATCTCCGGGAGCAGTGTGCCCAATAACTGCTCCAGCACCAAGAGCTCCAGCATCTGCTCCTTGGAGCAGGCCTTGGGCATCAGCCACTGGCAACACAGCTCACACAGCTGAGCCAGGGCCCCTCGGGGCCCTGCTGCCTCCTCATAGGGGAACCCCCAGAAGCACTGGCCAGGGCTCTTCGAGCTGGGCTCACCCACCATCAGTTCCAGTGGACTCTGGAGGACCTAGGGGGCCAGGGCTCATGCCCCACTCGTCTGGGCAGCCATCCTGCCCCTTCCCCGGGAGGGGAAGGCAGCTGCATGGCCCAGGGTACTTTCTCTGGAGCTGGAAACAAAGGTGAGCCTGTGAGCACAGCAAGGCCACGAAGGTCCCCTCCTTGGGACCACCTGAGACTGAGTAAAAATGGAAGAATGGGGGTATCAGCGCTTCTGGCCCCCAGCGTCAGCATCTTTGCCCACCTGTGTGTCCAGGTGCCTGAGGGACACGATGAGGTGCCATGGCTGCTTGTACCATCCATTCCGCTCTCCCTGCTTTTCTTGAGGGTCCCTGCCCAGCCCTGTCTCCTTGGCTCCCTTCATCCCACACACAGAACACCTAAGGCAGAGATTGTGAACAGGACACCCGGAGTCAGACCAGCAGATGGGTCCTGTTTGTCCCCTCCAGGAAGTGTTTTAAAAATGTAAGTTAGGCCAAGCACGGTGGCTCACGGCTGTAGTCCCAGCACTCTGGAAGGCCGACGCAGGCAGATCACGAGGTCAGGAGTTCCCCAAGACCAGCGTGGCCAACATGGTGAAACCCCCTCTCTACCAAAAATACAAAAATTAGCCAGGCATGGTGGCAGGTGCCTGTAATCCCAGCTGCTCGGGAGGCTGAGGCAGAGAACTGCTTGAACCCGGGAGGTGGAGGTTGCAGTGAGCCGAGATCGTGCCACTACACTCCAGCCTGGGTGACAAACCGAGACTCTGTCCCAATAAAATAAAATAAAAAGAGAATAAAGTAGGTACACACTACAAGGTGAATGAATCTTGAAAATATTATGCTAAGTATAAATGAAAAAATTCAGACACAAAATACTTCATATTATGTGATTCCATTTATATGAAATGTCCAGAACAGATAAGTCTATAAGAGACAGAAAGTAGATTAGTGTTTGCCAGGATCTAAAGGGAAGACAGAAATGGGAGATACAGCTGTGGGAGTGATGAAAATATTCTGGAATTAGTGGTGATGACTGTGCAATACTGAATATACTAAAAACCACTGAAGCATATACTTTAAAGGATGAATTTTATGGTATTTATGTTTTTTAAAAAGTTAACCAATCTCAAAAGCTTAAAAACTGTATGACTCCATTTATGCAATACTTTCTTTTCTTTTCTTTTCTTTTCTTTTTTTGAGACAGGGTCTGGCTCTGTCACCCAGGCCGGAGTGCGGTGGTATGATCTCATCTCCCAGGCTCAAGCCATCTTCCCACCTCAGCCTCCCAAGGAGCTGGGACATCAAGTGCGTGCCACCATACCTGGCTAATTTTTTATTTTTTTATTTTTGAGATGGAGTTTCACTCTTTCGCCCAGACTGTAGTGAAGTGGCACAATCTCGGCTCACTGCAGCCTCTGCCCCAGGATTCCAGCGATTTTTCCTGCCTCAGCCTCCTCAGTAGCTGGGATTACAGGCACCTGCCACCAGGCCTGGCTAATTTTATTTTATTATATTTTATTTTTTAGTAGAGACGGGGTTTCACCATGTTGGCCAGGCTGGTCCCGAACTTTTTTTTTTTTTTTTTTGAGAGGGAGTCTTGCTCTGTCGCCCAGGCTGGAGGGCAGTGGCACCATCTTGGCTCACTGCAAGCTCTGCCTCCCGGGTTCACACCATTCTCCTGCCTCAGCCTCCCAAGTAGCTGGGACTACATGCGCCTGCCACCACGCCCTGCTAATTTTTTGTATTTTTAGTAGATACGGGGTTTCACCATGTTAGCCAGGATGGTCCCGATCTCCTGACCTCGTGATCCGCCCTCCTCGGCCTCCCAAAGTGCTGGGATTACAGGCGTGAGCCACCGCGCCCGGCCTGTCAGCCAGTCCCGAACTCTTGACCTCAGGTGATCCACCCACCTTGGCCTCCCAAAGTGCTAGTATTACAGGCGCCAGACACCTCGCCCAGTCTATGCAACATTCGTGAAATGACAAAATGGTAGACATGAGAACAGATTACTAGTTGACAAAAAGAGGTTAACAGGGGGCAGAGGTAGGAGGGAAGGGTATGCGGCTCTGAAAGGGCAACACGGGGATCCTGTGGTAATGGAAATGTTCTGCATCTCGGTTGTGATATTGTACTCTAGTTTTTCTCTTTTCTTTTTTTGAGACAGTCTCTCGCTCTGTTGCCCAGGCCGGAGTGCAGTGGCGCGATCTGGGCTCACTGCGACCTCCGCCTCCTGGGTACAAGCGATTCTCCTGCCTGAGCCTCCTGAGTAGCTGGGATTACAGGCACCAGCCTCCACTCCCATCTAATTTTTGTGTTTTCCGTAGAGATGGGGTTTCACCACGTTGTTCAGGCTGGTCTTTAACTCCTGAGCTCAAGGGATCCACCCGCCTTGACCTCCCAAAGTGCTGGGATTACAGGCATGAGCCACCGAACCTGACCTCTAGTTTTTCAAGATGCCACCTTTAGGGGAACTGGGTAAAGGGTACATAGGGTATGCATTATGTGTTACTGCATGTGAATTTATAATTACCTCAAATCAAAGGTTAAATTTTAAAATGACATCCGATTTCAATAAAAATCTATATTTGTGTATTGAAGACCCAGAAATCCGGGCCCCCAAGGGCCCATGTTTCTTAAGGTGGAGCCAGGCACCGCTGCCCCTTCATCCAGGGCCTGTGCTGTGCGACCCCGACTCGCCAGCCCCCAGCCCCATCTAATAGGGCTGCCGTCCTGAGTCCGTCCTCGTCGTGGGATACTATGTGAGCCACGGAAGGTCCTTCCTGTCGGCCTCGCTGCTCCAGCCTCCCCGACGTACTCACATCCACGCCGCGTGCCCTTTCTGAACCTGAACGCCTCCTCCTCACCACGACATGATCAGAGCCACCTCCCGCGTCAGTCCCAGCGCCCACGCCCCCAACAACGGGCATTCGTCTGACCGGTCACGGGTATTTGTCTCCCCACCAACCCCCAAGGCCTAGAGTGGACAAATACGGGGTGGATAAATGGGAAGAGGCTGCGGCCGGGTGGCGCGAGGCCTGTGCGGGCAGCTCCGCAGTCTCGGAGGCGAGGCCTAGCCTGGTGAGCTCCGGAACTACGAGGCGCGGGTGGGGGTTGATGAACGAATAAATGAATGTGGGAAGAAATGATGGCGCGGCAGGACATGAAGGCCGAGCCACAAGGCTGGAGGAGTGATGAGTGAATGAGTCAAAGAATAAACGAGCAGGAGGAACAATGCTACAGAACTGAATGCTATAAGGCTCGCGTTCACCGAGCAAGCGGCAGACAGGAGCCGTTTCCGCCCCGACCACGGTCGCCTCTGGCCCGTGCAGAGCCACTTCCGGGCCGCTCTGGAGGGCGCGGAGGCCTCTGTGGTCCCAGAGGGCGCTGCTCTGGGCCGAGCCCCGCCCTGCCCCGCGCGGCGGGAGTGGTTGGAGCAAGAGGACAGATCTGTGCTTGGCCGGAGGGTGTCCGTTGGCGTCACTCACCGTCCTCAGCCCGCCCCTGCGTCCACTACGCGCTGCCTGAGAGGGGCCTGCACGGAGGCACGGGGAATGGTAGGAGGGGGGTACCGGGTCTCCTGGGGGGCGCGGTTGCATTCGGCGGAGCGCCCCAAAGCCTTGCGGTTCTCCCCACCGCGCCTGCGTAACTGTGGCGCGACTGCGGGCGCGCGCCTTCTGGTTCCCATGGGGCGGCGCCAAGGCCGAGCTACTCTGGCGTCCTGCGTTGCCATGGATGCGCTCCGCCCCTTCCTGTACCCGGCGCGCCGCTGCGGCACACATCCAACAGCTACACAGGCGCCCAGGGCTGCCCGGGTCGTGAACGCAGGTCGGGCCGATGTAGCTCCTCCCTGGCCGTCCTCCTCCGCCCCAGGCCGTCTTTACCACCCTGGAAACTCGCTGAGTTCACGCCACTGAGTTGCATCTCACACCCACGCGCTGTGGAACACCCACTAAGCTGGCATCCCCTAGAGTCGGTATCTCGGAAGCTAAGCAGGGTCGGGCCTGGTTAGTACTTGGGAGACCGCCTGGGAACAGCGGGCGCTGTTGGCTAAAATAAATAAGCAGGGCGCGGTGGCCCACTCCTGTAATCCCAGCACTTTGGGAGGCCGAGGCGGGCAGATCACGAGGTCAGGAGTTTGAGACCAGCCTGACCAATATGGTGAAACCCCGTCTCTACTGAAAATACAAAAATTCGGGTTGTTGGCGTGCGCCTATAATCCCAGCTACTCTGGAGACTGAGGCAGGGGAATCCCTTGAACCGGGGAGGCAGAAGTTGCAGTAAGCCGAGATCGTGCCACTGCACACTCCAGCCTGGGTGACATAGCAAGACTCCGTCTCAAAAAACAACATAGACCGGATGCTGTAAGTTAAAATAAATGAATAGCTAGAAACGGGATCTTGCTACATGGCCCAGGTTGGTCTTGAACTTCTGGGCTCAAGTGATCCTCCCACCTTGGCCTCCCAAAGTGCTAGGATTACAGACGTGCGTGAGCCACTGCACCCGGCCTCCACGAGCTTTTTTTTGTACCAATTTGTACTAGGGAGCTCTCACCCCAGCCCAGGTGGTTTGGGCAGGTGTGGGTACATGGCCCAGGTCCGCAGCACGGGGCAGTCCATCCCCCTGGCCCTGGCAATGGTCACTTTGGACCTGTTAGCATCATGGGACTTCTCTCTGAACTGTTAGGGCCTCTATCTGCTTTGAACCTGAGGCTGTGAGCACCTGTCAGCTGGGGCAGCTGCTGCCTTCTTGCCCTCATGAGGGATGAATCTGTTAGAGAATGGAGTCCATACAGAAAAGCAGAACTGAGGGATGGTGTGTTAGTTTCCTGTGGTTATGCAGCAAATTACCACAAATTTGGTGGCTTAAAACAGCAGAAATATATTCTCTCGCAGTTCTGGGGACCAGAAGTCTGACATCGATATAAGTGACCTGAAACAAGATGTTGACAGGGCTGAGCTCCCTCTGGAAGCTCTAACGTAGAACCTTTCCTTGTCTTTTTCAGCACCTAGAGCTGCATTCGATGTATTCCTTGGCTTTTGGTCCTTTCCTCCATCATTAAATAACTGGTAACGTCTTACTCTTTCTCTTATTAAGTTAAAATATTTAACGTATGTTCATTTTATCTCATTTGCCTGAGAGTCAATTTTAGCTTTAAAAAAATTTTTATTGGCCAGGCGGGGTGGCTCAGGCCTGTAATCCCAGCAATTTGGGAGGCAGAAGTGGGCGGATCATGAGGTCAGGAGTTTGAGACCAGCCTGACCAACATGGTGAAACCCCGTCTCTACTAAAAATACAAAAATTAGCCCTGTGTGGTGGTACATACCTGTAATCCCAGATACTTGGGAGGCTGAGGCAGGAGAATTGCTTGAACCTGGGAGGCAGAGGTTGCAGTGAGCCGAGATTGCACCACCGCACTCCAGCCTGGGTGACAGAGCTAGACTCTTGTCTCAAGAAAAAAAAAAAGCGGGGCTGGGCGCAGTGGCTCACGCCTGTATTCCCAACACTTTGGGAGGCTGAGGCGGGCAGATCATGAGATCAAGAGATCGAGACCATCCTGGCCAATATGGTGAAACCCTGTCTCTACTAAAAATACAAAAATTAGCCAGGCGTGGTGGCATGTGCCTGTAGTCTTGGGTCACCCATGCTGGAAGAATTCAGCTGCCTGGCCATGAGGAAACTCAGGTCTGCGGTCCTGTGGAGAGGCAGTGGAGCAGTGCATCCTCCAAACCCAGTGGGGCCTTCAGATGATTGCAGTCTTGGCTGCCATGTTGACTTCAACCTCGTGAGAGACCTTGAGCCAGAATCACAGGCCAAGCTGGTCACAAATTCCCCACCCACAGAAAATGTGTGCAATGATAAATGTTTATTTGTTTATTTTTGAGACAAAGTCTTGGTCTCTCACCTAGGCTGGAGCGCAGTGGTGCGATCTCAGCTCATTGCAACCTCTGCCTCCCAGGTGCAAAGGATTCTTGTGCCTCACCCTCCCAAGTAGCTGGGATTACAGGCACATGCCACCATGCCCAGCTAATTTTTGTATTTTTAGTAGAAACGGGGTTTTGCCACGTTGCCCATGCTGGTCTCGAACTCCTGAGCTCAAGCTATCCGCCCAGCTCAGCCTCCCAAGGCACTGGGATTACAGGCCTGAGCCACAACGCTTGGCCTGGAGCATACCCTTGATATGCAGACTAACCAATCCAGAGCCTCACCGGTGGCTCTATCTGGTCCACACACCGCAGGAGACAATATTCCTCTGTCTTAATCATCCCAGGAACAGGAGCCAAGCAGCTGGGGGACACTCCCACAGCTGAAGGCCCACAGGAATCACTCCAGCTAGCCAGTCCTGTGCTGTGAGCTCTGCTCTGCCTTGCTTTTCCCTTGGAAACCCCAGTAAAGGCTCTGGCTTAGAGCTCCCCCTTGCTCCTGCCCCTGCTGCCTCCGACAGATGCTGTACTTTCTCATGTGTCCTTCCTCATGGGCCGTGCCTCCTGTTTCCAGGATCTGTAAGCATGATGGACTTTGTTTTCCTGAGCTTGTCCTGTGTCTCTTCTTCTGGCCACACCTGACTGAGCAGCACATAAAAGCCACAGAACACCAGGAGAGCTGCTGCTTGGGGAAATTCTGCGGGAAGTGTCCTGGGGGACTAGGGGCAGGGCGAGCACTGCTCTCCCTCTCCTGAAGGCTGGGGAGAGCATCAAGGAGATTACCAGGTAGGAGGACCATGGGCAGGGCCTGCCTCATCAGGATGCTTTTCCCAGAACAGAGGGTAAAAATTTAAGCCCCTGGTGGGTGAGTCCTGGATTAACCAAGACCTGGGCCTTTTAGAGGCTGCGGAAGACAGAGGACACTGTGAGGTGAGTTTCTCTTGGGTGGATCCCCAGGGGCCTCTGAGGCTGGTTTCAGGCCCTACCCTTTGGCTGCCCCACTGGAAGCTCTGAGCATCCACCCTTCAGAGGCGCTTTCCCTGGTCTGACCTTGGCAAGGGCAAATAAGAAGGTACTCCGTGGGGGGTCACCAATGTCTGAGGCGTAAACAGTGCCCGTCTGCACAGTAGCATGAGGGCCACAGAGTGTGGTAAATGTCAAGTGACCAGCCCAGGCGGTCCCCAGTGTGGCTGCAGGGGCCACTTAGGATTCTTCTGTTTGGGGGTCCCAGGCCACACTTGGGGAACCCTATTGGAAGCAACAAGGCCTAGGCCCTGAGGGCCCAGGGCTCTGCCCTCTCCAGTGCTCTAGCTGAGCCAGGAGCAAGCATCCTCCCGGCCCTCCCAGCTGGTGTGAGGAGGAAACCGCAGGCCAAAGGGCAAGGTGCTCTGTACAGATCTGTCCCTAGTCGGCCTGCTCCAGTCGGCCTCTGGAGTGGGAGCCTTGGGTCTGTCTGGAACCAGCGTGGATGAAATGCAGGGAGAAACTGGAATCATAGCCATGGACAGCCACTTACATAGCTGGGAAAAAGCATGCTGTGCTAGATCCCGGTGGACTCTCACCTCTGCGGTGCTGGGGACTTTGTGCTGACACCTCAGGCACCCACTTCCACTCACACCGCGGAGGCTTGGGGAGATTCAGTTCAGTCTGGAGTCCGGCAGGGGACGACAATAGGGCGACCCCGACCGTCAGTCAGACCAGGGCAAGCTTGCCAGGGCATCGCACTTCACCAAAGGGAACCCTTTCTGCCGCGACTACGGAGCCGCCAGGGCCGGGACAGGCAGAAGCCTGCTCTGAGGTCTCACCTCTGGAGGGTTATGAGCTGTGCCAGGCCGGCTACGGTAGAGCGTGTGCAAACACCCCGAGGTCCCAAGGCTCCTGAAGCCGCCTAAGGGGCATGAGAGGCCCTAGGTTCGAATCCTGCCTTCATCGTCTTATGGTTGTGCCTCTGGAGAGTCACTTTTCCCCGTTTCCTCGCATACCAGAGAGCCAAGTAACAGGCACCGCGGCTCTGTGTGGACAGAGATCGTGGACACAGCGTCTGGGCCGGATCTGCGGCCACTCGAGATTATTACTGTGTATGCCTACAACCAGATGCTGTGTGCCCTGTTAGAAAAGGTCAAATAAAACTCGAGTTAGTGGAAGCCTGTGGACGCCATGTGTACAAAGTGAAGTTTAATCAAGGTTACAAACAGTGGGTTTTCGGGGACAAAGGCCCCTCCTCGACGCAGGGTTCGCTTGGGCGAAGCGTCGGCTCCCGGTGGTCAAGGCGCGGCGCGGCCTGCGTGCCGCTTCTGGTGCTCGTTGAGGTTGGAGCGTTGGCTGAAGGCGCGGCCGCACTCCCCGCACGCGTAGGGCCGCTCGCCCGTATGCGTTCGCAGGTGGCGCACCAGGCTGCAGTTGCGCACGAAGGCTTTGCCGCAGTCGCGGCAGATATAGGGCTTCTCGCCCGAGTGCAGGCGCTCGTGCTGGCGCAGCTCGGAGCAGCCGCGGAAGGTCTTGCCGCACTCGGGGCAGCCGTAGGGCCGCTCGCCGGTGTGCGCGCGTTGGTGTTGCACCAGGCCCGAGCGGCCCTTGAAGGCCTTTTCGCACAGTGGGCACGCGTAGGGCTTGGCGCTGCTGTGCGTGCGCTGGTGCCGGCTCAGGTTCGAGCGCTGGTTGAAGGCCTTGCCGCACTCGGGGCAAGCGTAGGGCTTCTCGCCGGTGTGCACACGCCGGTGCTCCACGAGGTGCGAGAACAGCCCGAAGGCCTTGGCGCAGTCGGCGCACTCGTACGGCTTCTCCCCGGCTCCCGACCCCCGTCGGGGACTCCGCTCGCCGCAGTCCCCGCAGGGCGGGCACCCCAGCCGGAAGGCGCGCCGGGCCAGGACTGGGCCACGGCGGTGGCGCTCGGCCGAGTGCGTCTTCTGGTGGCGGTACAGGCCGGAGCAGCGCACGAAGGCCTTGCCGCACTCGGCACACTCGTAGGGCCGTTCGCCCGTGTGGATGCGCTGGTGCTGCAGCAGGCTGGAGGTGCGCGTGAAGGCCTTGCCACACTCGTCGCAAGCGTACAGCCGCTGGGCCGGGGGGTTGGGGACACCCGGGCGAGGTCGCGAGGTTTGGCCGCACTCAGGACACACTGGGGGGCCCTTGCCCGTCTGCTGCTGCTGGTTGGGGCGGAAGCGCTTCCCGCACCGGGCACACGGACCGGGCTCCTCCATCGCCTGTAGCCGCTCCTGGGGGATCCGCAGGGCCCTCCACGCAAAGGCCTCTCCGCACGCGCAAGCCTGGGGCTGCTCCACCGAGGGGCTCCTCCCGCGGGAGGTCGGCTTTGGGGTCCTCGGGCAGGTCGGAGCGCCCGTCCCCAGTTGGCACGGCCAACAGTCCGTGTGGACCTCACACAGTTGAGTCCGGGGGCAGTTCTGGAGCCGCTCCGGACAGGGGTCACACACGGGTGGCGTCTCCCCAGCGGGCACCCCGCGATGCCGCGCCAGGCAGGAGTTCCTGCTACAGTCCCTGCCACGCGCCGGGCTCCCACAGGGGTCCTCCCCGGCCTGCAGCCCCTCGCGGGTAACTAGCTCAGGGTCCTGAGAAGAGGTGGGGCTGCGCGGCTCCCGCACGAGGGGTCTGATCCCCGAGCCCGGGCTCACCCTGAGGTTGCAGCCCTGGGAGCCCCCACCTGGGGGAGTCGTCCTACCGTCCGCCATCCCTCCACGCAGGTCCCCCTTTTGAGTGGGGCGGCTCCCAGTTCGGTCCTGTTCGAGGGGCCTCGGCTCCTCGGGCCTCTTCTCCCAGGCCCCAGAGGCACCCCGGGCATCGGCCGTGGAGATTCCTCCCTGCCCAGCCTTCTGGGCCAGAGCCTCCATCCTGGGGCACAGAGTTCTGGTTGTAGGATCTGGAAGAGCAGAGAAGAAATGGAGGTTTGCGGTTCCCAGGAGAAGAGAAGTGGAGAACTGGGCCAAAGAGCGACCATCCCACAGCTGGCACCTACTGGGCAGCCCCCAGCTCTCTGCAGATTCGAAAGGGGACATGGAGTGATATAGGCAGGGCCTCCTGCCCCTCTTCAAACTGTCACCACCCAGACCCCAGAGAACAGCTTCCCAGGCTCTCCCTGCCCGCATCTCTGCTCCTCCCCAACAATAGCTCCCAAAACACTGTGCCCCTGGCTAAGGCCCTCCCTGGTCCCCCTTCCCCAAGCAACAGGGACTCCCCCGTTGCTCAGCTGCGAGCTCCCCAGAATCTCACTTACTCCTGGCCTCAGCTTCTCAGTGGCAAGCCCACACTCCGGGTCCTCCTGGCTCCATTCACTGCCATTGTCCGTGTCTCCTGGGAGGTGTGAGGTGAACTCACCTGACAGCTGAGAGCCTGGCCGGGAGATCCGCGCTGCAGAGGCCAATGCTGAGCTGCCCCTCCCCTCTTCAACCAGGTAGTGGTGGTTCTCTCAAGCCTGGCAGCCTCATCTACAAAATGGGTATGATAACGGTAAGTGTAAACAGCTGAGTAGGGAGACAGGCAACCCAGATCATTCCAGCAAGTGTGGACATTAGCAAGGCCTAGTGCCTGCTATTACTATTTTAAAATTCTGCTGTGGCTACATTAGTTACCTACTGCTGCTTTAACAAACTGCCACCCCCATAGTGGCTTGAGACAATGCAAACGTGTTATCTCACAGTTCTGGAGGTCAGAAGTCCTAAGGGAAAGTTTCAGTAGTGTGGGTTCCTTCCTGAGGCTCTTGGGGAGGACGTTTGAGGACAATTTCCAGCTTCTAGATGCCACCTACTTTTCTTTCTTCCATCTTCAAGCCAGCAGTAAGACATCTTCGTCTCTCTGGGTTTGTCGTCAAATCTCCTTATACTCCTTACAGGACTCTGACCCTTCTGCCTCTTGTGATCACACTGGGCCAACCACATATAATCCAGGAATCCCCCCCATCTCAGGATCCAAAACCTCACCACACTCAGTTCTTTTGCCTTGGGAAGTAACATATTCACAGGTTCTAGGGACCAGGACGTGCACATCTTTCAGGGGGCCCTTATCCTGCCTACGACAGGGGACTTTGCCGAGATACACACACGTGCATATATACATATTCATCTCCTAAGCAAGCAATTGAAGAGCAAGTGAAAACAAAGGACAGCCGGGCACAGTGGCTCACGCCTGCAATCCCAGCACCTTGGGAGGCCGAGGCAGGTGGATCTCCTAAGGTCAGGAGTTTGACACCAGCCTGACCAACATGGAGAAACCCCGTCTCTACTAAAAATACAAAATTAGCCAGGCGTGGTGGTGCACGCCTGTAATCCCAGCTACTCAGGATGCTGAGGCAAGAGAATCACTTGAACCCGGAAGGTGGAGGTTGCAGTGAGCCAAGATTGCACCACTGCACTCCAGCCAAAGCGAAACCCCGTCAAAAAAAAAAAAAAAAAAAAAAAAAAAGAAAACGAGAGAAAGAAGAAAGAAAGGAAGGAAGGGAGGGAGGGGCTGGGCACGGTGGCTCACGCCTGTAATCCTAGCACTTTGGGAGGCCAAGGCAGGCGGATCATGAGGTCAGGAAATCGAGACCATCCTGGCTAACACGGTGAAACCCCGTCTCAAAAAATTAGCCAGGCGTGGTGGCAGGAGCCTATAGTCCCAGCTACTCAGGAGGCTGAGGCAGGAGAATGGCATGAACCTGGGAGGCAGAGCTTGCAGTGAGCCATGATCGCACCACTGCACTCCAGCCTGGGCGACAGAGCGAGACACCGTCTCAGAAAAAAAAAAAGGGAATTTTCCTCACCGTGTTGTGATGTGAAGTTTCTCAGCCTCACACGAGTGATAACCGCACTATCCTCCTGTCCCCTCCCTAGATCTTATTGTTTCCAGAACAAAGATGGATCTGTCCAGTGCAGCCTTTGGACTATGAATCCCGGATGGCTAACGTCACATGCAGAGCACAAGATGGACACACTTGTGGCACCTTCTAAATCACCGCTTCATTGAGCACAGGAGCTCAGATTCTTCTCCTTTGTCCTGTATTCCTTTTTCTGTGGAAAGCAGATATCCCCTTATTTTATTTATTTATTTTTATTTATTTATTTATTTTGAGACGGAGTCTCCGTCACCCAGGCTGCAGTGCAGTGGCATGATCTCAGCTCACTGCAACCTCCGCCTGCTGGGTTCAAGCAATTCTCCTGCCTCAGCCTCCTGAGTAGCTGGGATTACAGGTGCCCACCACCACGCCAGGCTAGATCTTTGTATTTTTAGTAGATACAGGGTTTCCCCATGTTGGCCAGGCTGGTCTTGAACTCCTGACCTTGTTATCTGACCACCTCAGCCTCCCAAAGTGCTGGGATTACAGGCATGAGCCACCATGCCCGGCCAGATATCCCTTGATTTATTTATTTGTTTGTTACTTATTTATTTTTATTTATTTAGAGACAGGGTTTCATGTTGCCCAGGCTGGAGTGAAGTGGCACGATCTTGGCTCACTGCAATCTTCACCTCCTGGGTTCAAGCAATTCTCCTGCCTAAGCCTCCCGAGTAGCTGGGATTATAGGCATCCGCCACCAAGCCTGCCTAATTTTTGCATTTTTTTTTTTTAGTAGAGCTGGCGTTTTACCATGTTGACCGGGCTGGTCTCAAACTCTGACTTCAGGTGATCCACCCATCTTGGCCTCCCCAAATGCTGGGATTACAGGCGTGAGCCACCACACCTAGTCGATATCCATTTATTAAATGTCTCAGAGGGCCGGGTGTGGAGGCTGAGGCAGAAGAATCGCTTGAACTCGGGAGGCAGAGGTTGCAATGAGCCAAGATGACGCCACTGCACTCCAGCCTGGGCGGCTGAGTGAGACTCCATCTCAAACAAACAAACAAATAAATAAATAAATGTCTCTGAAATCTAAGTATTTAGTGAGACGTCCTTGACCTGAAGTCACTTTTTCTGTCTGTTTTGCAAATTTCTAACAGGCAGTTGCCTTGGGCCACCTGGTGGCCTGAAATAACATGACCAGGAACTAAAAGGACTCACGAAGCATTTAACCAAGACTCTACATGTTGACTTTTCAGCCAAGGACACTTCAGGGCGACTGGCCGCAGTTCTCCAAAGGAAGCTGCTGCCAGTTGTCCCTGGGGGGTTATTTTGTTCTTGGACATCATGACCACAATGACAGAAATGCATTGATGACCAGCACTCTGGGGATGAATGTTTTTGAGTGGAAATTAAACATACCGAACTGGTTAAAGACAAAAATGCAGAGCTGGACAAGTTCTGCAGGTCATGAAGGGCTTTCCCAGCAGCCAGGCTCGGTTCCTGCTCTGCTCTACGGGAGGCTGCTGGCCTGAGCTGGAGAGCAGAAAGGCCCAGTGCAAGGGTTCAGCAGGTACTGGTTCCAGGCCAGGCATTTGCTAATAAACCCGGGTGACAGTAAGGACAAAGGGACTCTGGTGTGATGTGAGGTTTCTCAGCCTCACTTGTCACATGTGACCACTGCACAACCCTCCTGTCCCCTCCAGGCCTGTGTGAGACAGGAAAGGTGAGGCTGCCCCTCTCTGCACCTAAAGCCACTCAGGGTCTGGGTTTTCCTGAGACTTCTGGAGCCAGATGCAGACTCACAAAGGCGCTGATCCTTCCTCGATCTTCCTCCTTCAAGAGTGGCACTAGTCAGGTCTAATTTAGAGAAAATCTATCACCTTCCCCCCACTGTGGGCTCTGCCACTTGGTGCCTTCGTCTCTCCACCTATCAAATTAGCCAGCTGGAGCCTGCGACTCCAGGAGGCATGCTTGGAAGTAAGGGACTTCTCTGAGTAGGAGCACGTCTGGGTGGTGCTGAACACCAGCATGCTTTGCCCTGTGGCCTGGACTGTGCACAGGGTGACCTGTCACCTCCCACGCAGGTGGAAGGGTGTGAGAGAGAACGGACACTCAGTTACAAACATCCTCTTCCCAAACACTTGTGGATCTGAGTCTGAGGCTCCTCCTTCCAGGTGAGGGCTTGGCTGGCTGCTGATGTAGCTTGTTACTCTCCTTCTGTCCCTTCTGCCCTCAGGTCTTGACCATGCAGCTTCCCAAGAACACGATGGGGAATGATATGGGCACATGGGGAGGCAACCAGCCATGGGCCCCACCTGCTCATGGGCACTGACCGTCCCAACAGCAGGTGGACGTGAATCTAACCCACAACAGACACCAGAGTAGAGGGAGCTGGGCTCCCTGAGTCCGGATGGGGTTCTCCCAGGCCCCCGCAGCGAGACAAGGGAAGCCTCTCCAGAATGTGGAGTATGGACTCACTGTGGGAATAAAGTAAATGAGCTGGGGCGTGGCGGGGAGGTCCAGATTTCAAAAAGCACCACTCACACACCAGGACTGGCAAAGCTGCTGGCAGTAAGCTCTGTCTTGGGGCTCCCCAACTGCAGGTGAGCTGACTGGCCTCAGCTGGCACTAACCACGCTCAGTGTTTGGAAGACCAGAAGACCTGGCAAAAAAGAGGAAAGCAGAGAACACGCTCCAACCTGGCTGGTGGGGATCCAGACAGTGCAGCTGCCGTGGAAACCTTCAGTTCCACAGAAAGGTAAAGATGGAGCTACCGCACCCCCAGCAATTCCACCCCGAGGTATCCGCCCAAGAAAAAGGAACACAGGCATTCAACAAACACTGGCTGACAGATGTTCACAACAGCACTGTTCACAGTAGCCAAAATGGGGAAACAAGCCAAGTATATAAAATGACAAATGCACAAATAAAATGTGGTATATCCATAGAATGGGATATTATTCAGCCATAAAAAGGGATGCGTACTAACACATACTGCAACATGTACTTTAGGAAACATGGGAAGTAGAAGTGAGTCCCAAAAGACCACATATTACATAATTCCATTTATATGACATATCCAGAATAGGGAAATCCATAGAGACAGAAAGGAGATTAGTGGTCGCCAGGGGCTGAGGGGAAAAAGAATGGGGAGTAATTGCTTTATGGATATCGAGTTTTGTTTTAGTGTAATTAAAATGTTCTGGGCTGTAGTGTAGTGGGAGGGGAGGGGAAGGGGGAGAGAAATGGAAAGTAAATTAAAAAAAAAAAAAAAGGGAGTTGGCTTATAGTATCGGTGGAGGAATGTGATGGGGGGGTTGCAGTGGCTGAGATCCGATGCACTAGTGGGAAGAGTACTGTAAAAAAAAAAAAAAAAAAAAAAAATGTTCTGGAAATTATAGTGGTGATGGTTGCACAACATAGTGAATATATTAAAACCTAAACAATCTACTAAAACCTGGCCAGGCGGTGGCTCACACTTGTAATCCCTGCACTTTGGGAGGCCAAGGTGGGAAGATTACTTGAGGCCAGTTCGAGACCAGCCTGGCCAAAATGTGAAAACCCCATCTCTGCTAAAAATATAAAAATTAGCCGGGTGTGGTGGCACATTCCTGTAGTCCCAGCTACTTGGGAGACTGAGGCAGAGAATCGCTGAAACCTGGGAAGTGGAGGCTGCAGTGAGCCGAGATCGCACCACTGCACTCCAGCCTGGGTGACTGAGCAGGACTCCATCACAAAAAAAGAAAAAAAAAAAAAAAAAAAAATATATGTGTGTGTGTATATATATATACACATATATATGTACACACGAAAACGTGGCCGGGCAGGTAGCTCACGCCTGTAATCCCAACACTTTGGGAGGCTGAGGCTGGCGGATCACGAAGTCAGGAGATTGAGACTATCCAGGCTAACAAGGTGAAACCCCGTCTCTACTAAAAGTACAAAAAATTAGCCGGGCCTGGTGGCGGTGCCTGTAGTCCCAGCTACTCGGGAGGCTGAGGCAGGAGAATGGCGTGAACCTGGGAGGCGGAGCTTGCAGTGAGCTGAGATCGCACCACCGCACTCCAGCCTGGGTGACAGAGCAAGACTCTGTCTCAAAAAATATATATATACACACACACACATATATAATTACATATATATTTAGAGTATATATTTATATAGAATGTAAATACATATATTAGATATATATATACTAAAACCCAACCTGAATTGTAAAATGATTTATTTGTTACATGATTTATATCTTTTTGTTTTGTTTTCTTGAGACGGAGTCTCCCTTTGTCACCCAGGCTGGAAACCAGGGGCACGGTCTCAGCTCACCGCAACTTCCGCCTCCCGGGTTCAAGCAATTATCCTGCCTCAGCCTCCTGAATAGCTGGGATTACAGGAGCACACCACCACGCCCAGCTAATTTTTGT